TACGAGTTGGCAAGCTTGTGCAGCAACCAGCACTCTCAGGCACTGCTGGGGAGACTGCAAGTTGGTAGAGCAACTCTGGAAACTGTTAGGCAAAATCCAGTAAAGGGGGCTTCCCTGGTGGCGCAGTGGTTGGGAGTCCGCCTGCAGATGCAGGGGACGCGGGTTTGTGCCCCGGTCCAGGAGGATCCCACATGCCGCAGAGCAGCTGGGCCCGTGAGCCATGGCCGCTGAGCCTGCGCGTCCGGAGCCTGTGCTCTGCAACGGGAGAAGCCACAACAGTGAGAGGCCCGCGTATCGCAAAAAAAAAAAAAATCCAGTAAAGGTAAAGCATGAGTACCGCCTGTCTGGGGTGTGGGACCTGGGACAGACCTGGCAGAAATGCATATATCCACGCACCAAAAGACATGTACAAGACTGCTGTGCATGGAAGCAATCCAAATGCCTATCAACAGTGGAATGGATGGATTTTAGTATATTCATAAAATGATCTGCTGTACTTCTGGGAGAAAGAATGACTTTGCTACTCAAAAAAACACTGATGAATTTGACATATAGAATGTGGGAAAGAGAGGAGGACATTCTGTGTGGTTCCATTTATATAAATCTGCATGGCAGTCACAGCTGCATTACCTTTGGGAGGTGGGGTGTAAAGCCTGGTGGACCCCGGTGGCCTTCTGGGGTTCTACGACTTAACATGAGTGGCAGATACACTGCATGTTCATGCTGGGGAAATTCAACAAGCTGTGCCCTTATGATCTGTGGACTTTCCAGAATGTATGTTAAACTTTAATTTAAAAATTTTTGCTTTATAAAAAAGGAGGAAGTCTAAGATTTCCATTTAGTAATATCACAAGATAGGTCGCCTGAACACCACCTCATTACACAGCAGGCAGAAGTGTTGGATAACGTATAACCAACACCTTTTGTAAACGTACAAATGAACTCTCCAGAAAGTAAGGGAAATCCCAGGGGCCAACACTGAGGAAGGTACTGAATTCTTTACCCTGGTGGGAGAGGGGAAGGTTAATAGATAAACGATAAGAAGATGCAAGGCCTTGGGTCCTCATGGGGTGCAGAGGTAGTATAGAGACCCCTGTATAATGGCAGAAACCCTGAAGGGCTATATCCTATGTGTAACATTGCCTAAAAGAGAAAAAAATCCACCCTTAAGTAAAGTCAATTAAAACGTTGTCTGTGTCAGCCTGGGCTTGGGCTGAAAAAAGTCGACATAAAGAAGTCTTTCCTGAAAATCTGTAACCGCGGGGCTTGTCTGCAGTTGAACTGGGGATCACATTTATATTCCCCGCTTATACCACATAACAAATATAGAAAGAGCCACCAAGGGACATGCTCAGATTTTTCTTTACTTTCACAGAAAAACAGTGAACAGCATAGAAGCTGGAACTAAAAGGATACGCGTCCCTCCATCTCAAGGTTTCTCTTGGTCTGACTTTATATCAGCAATAATTTCCAGTGAAGATTTTGCCTTTGAGGGAGGCATCTGCACTTCATAATTAAGCAGGAACATAAAATCCTTAGCGGCTTAGGTATCCTCCACAGAACAAGCCTTTTAAAAAAACTGCACGTTTTTGACTTGACATTTAATTCTACAGACTCTTAATAAACACTTTGACAGTCCCTGTCTCAAGGAGCTTTTAATCTCTCAGCACAGAGAAAAGTCACAGGCAAAAACCACGTGGACCTGAACATGGGACATTCAACTCTTATTTGCCTTCACCAATTCCTTCAACTGGTCCCTCATAGAATATGATTTCAAGATCCTTTACCATTCTGGTTCACAGCGGCAAGAAAATTGCATTGATTTATAATGAGCAGTTGATGAAATTAAGGTTATTGCAAAGGAAGGGGCCAAAGACTAAATGAAAGTTGAGGAGGTGAACAACGGCAGTCCATTATTGGGGGGCATCTTAAATTCTCACTTCCGGGAGGGAGTACGGTCCCATGAATCTGTAGGCGCCAAAGTCAATAACAATGTAATGGAGGAGGAAGTACTTACATAACACACATTTCAAAAGTCAAGAGTGACAGGGAACTTGAAATTCAATCAATCTCCTAAAAGCAATTTGGAATGCAAGCTTATTCCACAGAGATAAAATTCAATATTTACACGAAATGGTTTTTTTCACTTTCAACCAGTTGTTTTTCACATCGTGTGATAACTAAAACCTCGTTAAACAGATCACAAAATAAACCAACAGAAAATGAGGAACGTCCCAGAAAGTCAGGACGTCTTTCCACAGCAGTTACTGAGCTGCCCTTACCAAGCCTGTTGGTAGTCCTACGGCTGCTTCAAACAAACTAATAATAAACAGGAAAAAAAAATGTAGGCTTACTCAGTAGTTTTCAGTAGACACATTTTATAGTTTAATCTAATAATAATAGCATTATTTTCATTGCTAAAAAAATCTGGAGAGAACCCAGAGGAAATGTTGATGGTTCGTGGCAAACGTGGCTGGACAAGAAGGAATTAGGTCTTCTCGGTCTACAGCGCTCGTCCTCGCTCCTTACCTGATGTTCAAGGCCCCACAAAAATAGCCTGGCTCCCCTGTCCTGCTCCTATCATTCCCCAGCATATTCTGCTACACCCAGTTCAGGTCTCCCCTGTCCACTGAGCCCACATGGGTGCACTCCATGCCTCTGCTCTGAGTGACTTCCTGGAAGATATGCTCCCTTCACTCTGCCACCCGCCTTGCCCACCTGTCGGGCTGCTGCCATCTCCCCAGCCCGGGATGCTGTCACTGGCCACCTCACTCCCCAAAACTGCAATTCTTCCCTTAAACTCCCAAGCATTTAATGCCATGTTTCCTCTGGCACATGCCTTGGTCCTGCTATTTTTGACATTTGATATGTTCAGATCTTATCTCCCAGCTAAACTGCCAGCTCCTTGAAAGAAGAAACTTGATTCCTATCTTTCACTGCATAATCCCCCAAAGGGTTTGGCATGGTGGTTCTATGTCAAGAACCTCAAGGTATCACTTCCCATTTATTCCTATAAATTTCAGGAGAAAAAGATAAAAAAGGGGAGAAAAAAAGGGGAGAAGGAGAAATTGTGTAAAGACCTGAGATACTTCCAGGTGTCTGTACTTTAGAAGGATAGATTTTGACCTCGAAAGAACACATCAAGATGGAAATTCATTTCCAGAGAAGAAGTCAAGCAGAGTGTCATGGTCTCTGTTTTCCCCTTGTGACAGAGGTAGACTTGTACACCTTCAGACTTGAACTGGACCTCTGTGAAATACAGCCCAAGGCCCAAGAGACCACCAGTTCACAAAACCTCCTTTTCCTTTGTATCATCTCTGCCAGGGCAATACTGAGAGAAGCGCTGTCACGTTTCCTGTACAGTAGCTCTAACCAGTGGCAACAGCTTCAAAAGCTCATCTGCCAGCTTTGTCCTAGCAGGAACCAGCCCAAAGGTTATTGGCTACACAAGCAGATTATCCTGTTTTTGTCCAGAGTCACTGTTTACAGTGGTTCTCAAATTTTGCTGCATATTCAAACCACCCGGGGAGCTTTCAAAAATTCAAATGCCCGGCTGCACCCATACCATTTAAATATGAATCTCTGGGAATGGGCCCAGGCATGGGGGTTTTCACCTGTGATTTCAATGTGCCGCCAAGTTTGAGAAGCAGTGGTTTAATCAGATCCGTCAGCAACCCGCCCAAACGTTCACCCTGTAGTGGTAATGTTAGAAAACACCGCTGATTCCGGAGTGAGTGCGTGACTGCAGAAAGCAACGCGGACGGAACTTCTCTTTTGTAGGCTTAGTTGGTCTAGAGCTGTGGTTCTTAATGCCTGGTCTCCGGACCAGCAGTATCTGCATCACTGTGGAATGCTTTAGAAATGCAAATTCTCAGGTCCCATCTCAGACCTATAGGAAGGAGGGGGAAGGCAGAACTAGGGGCAGAGATCTGTATTTAAATAAGCCCTCCAGGGAATGATGGTCATGCCTGAGTTTGAGAACCACTGGTCTAGGCAGGACGCAGGTCCAGGTGGTTTTGAAAAGACCCACAGGTATTTCTCCTGGGCAGTCTGGGTGGAGACTCATGGGTTAAATAAATAGCACCGGATTAGGTAGCTGACAGCTGTCCTTCATTGCAGTTTCCATGCTCTCCTGATGTCCAGTCCTCCAGGGGAAACAGAGTGCCTTCTGCTGGGGTGAGCAGAAGAGCTCTTGTGTTACATTGAAAAATAACAGATTGGTGTTGGTGTGTTCAGTCATTTTAACAACTGAATTAGATCAGCAGCGAAGCCCATCTAACTACACGCTCAAACATTTGTCAGTAAAATATCTCATCCTATCACCTCCCCATCAAATGAATCAACTTTCCTTCAAACACAAAACAGCCAATTAACAGTGACTCCATATCCAAATATAACCATCTTTTTTATTCAATAGGATAAAAGAGATCTGAACATGAACATGAAATGGGCCTTTGGGTCAAAATTTCATGCTTTGATTGGGCATTCATCTCATCCCTCAAAGAGAACTTAACAGTTTGAAAAGCTCAGGGTTTTTATTTGTGCGATGATGACATTGAGAATTCTAGTTTTCACACAGTCTCGGGATAGAAGCCTCTGGCAAGATATGTAATAAATGGGATCTTTATATGAACAGCAACTCATATTTTTACTTAAAGGAAGTTACTAGGCAATGACTAATGCTTCGAAGAGTGGAGTACAGGCTGGCTGTTCTCTTCTTATCTGGCATTTGTTGGGCCTGGGGGTGAGGAGTATCACTCACTTCCTTTGGAGCTCCAACGATGCTTCATAAGAAAGGGGGCAAGTCTATGGACCAGTTTATGTCTCTGACAATGTTTGATGATAAGGTACTGATGTGGCATAAAAGATCTACTAATAGCCTTAGACAAGAGAAGTGGTTGAGATTGCAAGCATGCCTCTCTCTATACATGCATCATAGTCAACAGGCCATTCACTCGTGGACAGCTCTGGGCAGCCCAGTGTGTCTACTGAGAGTTTACCTCGAGGGCAGTAGATGTCTGGAGCCCATCGGTTGCACTCATAATTGTCTGCTGCCTTTTCGCAGGTGAAACACTTAAATCCACCAGGATATGGTGTGGCTACAAAAAAAAAAATCAAGAGAGAAGATTAAGTTTTTAGACTGAGCACAGAATCCTGCATGGTGAAGTGAGACACTTTTATTTTTTAAAAAGGATTCTCAAAATAGCCTGGCAATTTCTTTAAAAACTAAACATGCAACTGTCATATGACTCTGCAGCTGCATTCTTGGGCATTTATCCCTGAGAAACGAAAACCTACATTCACACAAAAATCTGTACACAAATGTTTATAGCAACTGTATCTGTAACATCCCCAAACTGGAAACAACCCAGATGTCCTTCAGTGAGTGAAGGTTAAACAAACCATGGTACATCCATACCATGGAACACTAGTCAGCAATAAAAATGAATTATTAATACGTTTAACAACCTGGATGAATTTCCAGGAAGTTGTCCTGAGTGAAAGAAGTCAATCCCAAAAGGTTATATACTGTATGATTCCATTTGTGTGACATTTTTTAAATGAGAAAATTTTTTAAATTGAGGAAGTATTAGGGGTTGCCAGGGGTTGAAGTTGCCAGGTAGTGGGGGGAGAGTCAGAGGGACATGGGTGTGAGGCCAACAGGAGGAATCCTTGTGCTATTGAAACTGTTTAGTGTCTAGATTTGGTGATGGATACACAAACCTACATGTGATAAAATTATGTAGAACTAAATACACACACATACACACACACAGAATCACACACAAATGAACATGAGTAAAATGGGGGAAGTCTGAATAAGACCGGTAGACTAATGTATCAGCGTCAATAACCTGGTTGTGATATTATTCCACAGTTTTAAAAAATGTTACCATTGGGGGAAACTGGGTAAAGTACATATGGAATCTCTGTATATTATTTCTTACAACTGCTGATGAATCTACAATAATCTCAATTTAAAATGTCAATTAAAAAAAGGCACTCTGGATTTCCTATGATTTACTTTTATGTGTCAACTTCTGTAGACATATCATGTAAATAAATATAAATATTAGGTTCAATCATTAAAAATTTCTTGATGCTTGATCATTTCTTACCTATAAAATTTCTTTGGTTCAATCTTATAATTTTATCTGGTTGGACCTGATAAGGTTAAGAGTCTCAGGGGATACCAAATATCAGCTAAGAGTCTTCATTGCTAAGATACATGCTGCCTGTGCAGAGGTGAACCTCCTAAGGGGCCCCGGGGGCCCACGGCCAATGTCTCGGGGCAGAGTGCTGAGGGAACATGGGGATGTTCCAGGAAACTGCTCCTATCTTTCCCCTCCATTCCCCACTCCTGAGCTGCCTCTTCCTGCCTTCTGAAGGGATTGTCCTCCAGGTACTTGTATTTTGCCTTACATTTGTGTTCAGGTGGGATGCATCCATGGCAGTCAGGTTCTGGAGAGTGCCCAGCATGCCAGGGTCTCCTTGGTAATTAAGGACCAGGATCCAAAAGGAACGTCTGGCCAGGCCATCTCTGTCCTTTTCCCTGATGTACTTTCACTTGGTGCTTAGTTTTAATCATTTGCTTGCTTTGTTGCTTAGAGTTTCGCCTTTCACAGACAGAACGTGTGTGTGTGTGTGTGTGTGTGTGTGTGTGTGTGTGTGTGTGAATCTGTAAAACTACCTGGCCTCTTTGAAAGCTGCAAACATGCAAACACTTCATCTACAGGAGCCAACTGTTCTCCCTCACAGATGGCTGAGCCTGCATGTCCCACTGGTGGAAATAATCATCTCAGGGTAAATTACTTTGCCCACATGGAACCAATTAAGTATGTTATCAAAAATAAATGAAGGGGGCTTCCCTGGTGGCGCAGTGGTTGAGAGTCCACCTGCCGATGCAGGGGACACGGGTTCGTGCCCCGGTCCGGGAAGATCCCACATGCCGCGGAGCGGCTGGGCCCGTGAGCCATGGCCGCTGGGCCTGCGTGTCCGGAGCCTGTGCTCCGCAACGGGGGAGGCCACAACGGTGAGAGGCCCGCGTACCGCAAAATAATAAATAAATAAATAAATAATATATATATAAATAAATAAATGAAGGAGGAGGCAGCAGCTTAAGGCCAGAATTATGGGCCAGATATAACTTTGATTTTCACCTTGCTTAGAATAGCTGCCCATCCTCGCATTTGCTTGTAATATTTCACAGAGCTGACTCTGACAATACCCAATAACCTAACATGATCAAGTCATAAACTGTCTAAAAAAGACAGGTAACTGAAACTTTTAATGGGCCCATTTGAGAGTTCTATGTTCCTCCTAGTGGCTGGTGACTCAAGTTCATAAACAGAATGATGCTGAGAGCAAGGATCCTCTTAAAAATGAGGGATGGAAAGCAGCCTAGGCATAGCCATCCAACGACTGCATTCCCAATGAGGAAAACGCGCTCTGGTTAAACATGCTCTATCATGTAATTATAATAAACAGAAATCAACTATTTTGTAAAACTACACAGAGAAAATTTTTATGTCTTCACATCCCACTGCCTAGATAGGTGGGTTATACTCGAGTTAAAGATTCTAGTTTAGGTAAGTACATGCCTGAAGAATTTAAAATAAATAGGTTCTCAGATTTCTCTGGTGGCCCAGTGGTTAAGATGCCACGCTTCCGATGCAGGGGGCACAGGTATGATCCCTGGTTGGGGAACTAAGATCCCGTATGCTGCACCCGACCAAAATAAATAAATAAATAAATAAATAAATAAATAGGTCCTCATGTTCCAAAGGCATTCAGTACTCTTATGGACGTTTTAATTAGATTATTTTTATAAATACCATTATTAAAAACCATACAAAATATTTTAGGAAATTATCCTGATTGGATACATTAAAAATAGTTTCACTATCCACTTTAAATTATTTAATGTATAAATAAGTGTAAAAGACAGAACTTTAAAATAGTTTGTGAGATTTGAAGTAGAATTATTAAAGCAGGAATTTTGAAGAAAAGATGTATATAATTTGTCAAAGAACAGCATTTCTCAAAAAACGATCGTATTCACTAAGGTTTATGATGGCAAGCCAACCATAATACTTCAGCTTGTGTGATTAATTCACTAGAGTATCCAATTTTATCTGTCTGTCACTGCAGCCAGTAAAACTTTTAGCTGGAATGTTGGATTAGCTATTCCTGGAAACTTTCCCATCAAAGAGATAAATTAAGAACTCTGAATGAAGATTGACGATCCAGCTGTTCCAAGAATAAACTTATTGAAAGCCTAGCACTAAGTTGTAGTGTTCCCAAATTTGGATTAATAGACTCTTCAAAATTATCTTTTGCAAGACTAGTGACATATTAAATTAAACACTGCCATTTCTTATACAAGTAGGCCTGAACTCTGAAATTAACTCAAAGTGTGTCAAAATTAAAACAGGAATATGAACTAAAACACTATGGTAGCAAAATGAAGCTCCGTTAAAAATCATTTATCTCTGAATGTGTTTATCAGCATGTATCATTGCCAATTAAACAAATGATCTCCTTTCCAGTGAGTTTTATTTTTAAGTCCACAACTTCATATCTGTTGCATTCTCAACAATGGCAGTCTAATATTTGCTTATAGGAACTTGTATTTACACCTTGGCAGGTAGTACTGATCAGTGAATAATCAAACCCTTTTCAGTGACAAATCTCTGAAAACAGACTCAGCTTTCAGTCGATAATTACAGCACAATACCAAGTAATGGTCAAATTCCCCCCTCTGGAAATATTTAGCTAATAAACAAGGTCTTCAGATGAACAACTATCTCCAGTAACTTGCTAACTGATACTGAATCTGATAAAGAAGTTTTTTTAAACAGGACGGAAAGAGGTTTCTAAGAGATGTGCAGTTTTCTTCTTTGTTACTTCAAAGCATTACAGAGCAAGCAGGGTTTCAAATCGTTGTGGCCCCAGCTGCAAATGAATCTAATTTGGCTCCTGATCACAGAGTTAATAAGCTTAGTATTTCAGGGCATAAGTATTTCAGGGCATAAGTCCTTGGTCCCTCAAGAGAAGGTTATTGTAAAGAAAAAAAGAAAAGCCAAAGTGCCCAGTTACTTCCTGTAATATAATCTGTCCATTAACTCTCCTGGTCAGCCATGGTTCAACCGACCATAATTCATTTGTAAGGCATCGGAAAAGATTTCGTCTTTGTTTCCATCCCTTGGAACTTTTGCCAGGACAAAGGCCTTCAGTTACCAAAACCGTGGTGAGAAGAGAATCTTGTTTTGAACTGTATGCTGATGTGTAATGCATCCAAACTTTCTTTTTTTTCATTCTTACCAAATTAATCTCCATCGTTTTTGGGAACTGGATGCAAATACAAAATTTCTAGAAATCTAATAAATTGATCTTCTCAGTCCACTAGGCAACAACATATTGTCAGTATAATTTTAATACCATGAACATATTTCTGATAGAAGTGCATTTCCTGGTACCTTTCTAGAAAGTCCCATCACTCCCTAAGACTTAACGTAGTGTAGAATTATGGGGAAACTTCGCTGGCTCACTATCTGGGCATAAACAAGCCCCCTGTAGAGAGATAGCTCTTTGGTCCACATAATTAAGGAAAGATTCAGAATAGGCAACCAGAGGAAAACTGAACTTCCCAGGAAAGATTTCTATTACAAGGAATGAAAAGGAGGCCAAGAACATGTTGAAGTCACTTAGGATGTTAATTCTGCTATCTTGTATGAGGTCTAACAGCCAAATAAGTAGCTTCATGTCTCTTAATACAAACTCCTGCTTCGAAGGTTTTTATTAGGCTATGGTACTTTAATCATGGGCTAGGAAGAAATTCATCATTTTTCACATGAAAAAAGAAAAAAACCCATACACATGATAGAAAAGAATGTTGTTGAGGACAGTGCCTCAAGTTTGAAAGCCATAAAGTTTATTTCTTTTAAAGGCTTAGAAACTTCAAAGGTTAGGGAATCAGAGAGCAAAGGAGATTAGTCATGGGAGGCTGAACTTTCCCAACCCGGGTTCCGATCTCATCCCACTTGTTATCTCTGAGGGCCATTCGGGGCCCAGGAGAAATGAGTTTATGTTTGTCTGGTGTGGAAAACGTCTTTATCTTCTCACATCTCCAGCATCACCGCATTTCTCCTTGGGCAGGTTCTGAGCAGTATCCAATATTAATGGAATCTGGCTCACTCGTCGACCCCAGGAAAGCTGTTTGTGTCTTCATCCACAAAGTGAGGCGATTATATTAATAATTCAAAATCAAAATAATCCCATGTTTCCTTCATATATTTTTTATGGTCTATGTTCTACCAGAAACCTGCTTATTTGTGGAGAGATCGCTTCATCTAAACATAGTCTACTGGGTGCTGCTCAAGGGCAGTCGACCATGACCGTTTAAAAAAATCAAAGTGTAAAAACAAGCAAACAACATCAAAAACTTCTGAAATAGTGCAGAGAAATGTGAAGTTAACTCTGCTTTAAAGTGGTCAGAATAAACAAAGTTATGGCCAAGTAGGAACCATGGACAGGAACTTGAATCCTGCAAGAACTTATATTCCTTGTGACCAGTTATGGAGACTCCGAAAGAGAACTCAGCCCAGACCTGCTGGTGAATCATCTACATACAACATAGTTTAGGAACAGATGCTTCTACCCTTCTCTATATTCCAAAATCACATCAGAATACTCCATCAATTCTTTGTTTACAGTGAGCTCTCTTTAACCAGGCCATGGCTCTATTTAACCAACATAGGTCACATGAATGGAACTTCTCCATCAATTTCTAAAGAGCACAGGTGATTGCCCCTCCAGCCTGGCAGAGCTCATCCTTCAAAGATCCCATTCTGAAATGGACTTTCCAAATAGAGGTCCACTCAACGCCAGCACTGACCCACCATACCCCTGAGGCACAAGCAGAGTGTGTTTGTTTTGTTCTTGGTCATTTAAAGCCACCCCCCTTAATTTTCCTTTCCACCCTGCGTGTACAATCACAGCCTCAGAGAAGGCCAGACGTGGGTCTGTTTTGAGGCCCAGTGACTTCTGAGTCTGTCACTGAAGCGGACAAAGAATTCCACAGTAGCTGAAAGTCCTGGCAATCAAACCCAAGAGACTGAAACCTAGGTTTTTGTTCACCAACTGTAATAAAAAAGCATGGTTGTTTGGAGAAAAGAACAAAATGCAATCTCAGAAAACAGAGAAACTATCAAAGCACCTTCTTTTCATGAATGTTACTAAACTGCCCTGCAAAAACAAGCAGCCAGATAAGCTTTCCATACAACTAACCAGTAGGTACCAGCCTATATTGGTGAGAGCGTACAACAGCAATAAGTCTAAAGAAACTATTGGCTGCCGGTTAAAAGTATATCTGGGAGGGTGGGAGGGAGGGAGACGCAAGAGGGAAGAGATATGGGAACATATGCATATGTATAACTGATTCACTTTGTTATAAAGCAGAAACTAACACACCATTGTAAAGCAATTATACCCCAATAAAGATGTTAAAAAAAAAGTATATCTGGATTTAAAAAATTAGTGATGTACCTTCAGCATCCTCAGTTTACTGTCTGAGCCAATTAGCACAACATCATAAGTAACAGGCATCTGATTGCCCGTTATGTGTGTGCCTAGCATTTTACGGATATTATTTCTAGGCCACAAAACAATGCTATAGGGTATGTATCATTTTAACCATGTTAGAAATGTAGAAATCAACACTTTAAAGATTCTCCTAACATTTATTGAGCATTTCCTACGGCTCACAGTGCTAAGTGCTTTGTATGCGTTCTTTTTTTTTTTGCGGTACACAGGCCTCTCACCGTTGTGGCCTCTCCCATTGCGAAGCACAGGCTCCGGACGGGCAGGCTCAACGGCCATGGCTCACGGGCCCAGCCGCTCTGCAGCATGTGGGATCTTCCCGGACCGGGGCACGAACCCGCGTGCCCTGCATCGGCAGGCGGACTCTCAACCACTGCGCCACCAGGGAAGCCCTATGCGTTCCTTTATTTAATCTTCACAAAGTTAGGGAACTTATTTCAAGTCAGAAGGCTACGAAGCAGCTGAGGGAGGTCCTAACCCGAGGTCAGGTGGACTCCAAGCCCCTGTGCACTCCTTGGACCACCTCTCATTCAACCAGAACACGGAGACATTAAATATTCTAACCATGTGGCATTGAAGGAGTCCAGGTGACTGCCTCCACCTTGTAGATTGCAAGATCCTCAAAAGCAAGGACCATGGTTGATTTGCCTTTACATTTTTCACGCCGATCACAATGCTTGACACCCAGTAGAGGCTCAAAAATGTTTGGCAAACAGAACATTTCAAAAGAGTAATGTACCTCGGGGCGAATGCTAAAGGTCGGCCCATGCACTACATACCCAGCTCAGGGGCATTCCAGCAGAGAGTCAAGCAAAAGTAAAAGAGATGAGATAAATACAGAGATGGTGACCAGTAGAGAAGGAAAGCTGCTGTGTTTCCCGAAGTGTGATCCTTAGAATATCGGCAACAGGGGAAGCACGTGAATTTCTTGCTGAAAGCAAAAATCCATGGGGACCACCCAGATAGATGCAGTCAGACACTCCATGGAAGGGGCATGGGATACACATCATTATACACTCCCAAGATAATTCTTAAACACAGGAAACTGAAAGGGATAGGGAACAGGAAGTGGCGGGAGGCAATTATGCTGAAACTGAGAATTAGATGCACAGACAGGAAGGCCAGCTATTATCTTGCTTATAAAGGCCTGATCTTTTACAAACACCTTCCTCCTGGGACTTGGCGGTTGACTTTGATAACTGACCGAGGGCTGGCAGAGTCAGAGGAAAGGGTGTTCAGAATCAGAGCGACCGAGGGTACAGGGAACAGAGAAAACAAGCCTAATAATTTACCTTCAAATACAAACACCCTGTAAAAAGGGGAGGGTAAAACACAACGTGTGTTTCTGTCGCATGCGTGCCCCCCCCCGCCCCGCAATTAAATCACCAGGTTTCGCCTGAGCGTAAGGCTGCCTCCTGCTGACCAGTTTTCAACTTTCAAATCTTATTGGGAGTCAAGTGACATTTCTGCAGTGAAGAGAACGGAGTCTTACTTGAAGGGTGGAGGTAGATTATGTCTTTGACGGTGAAGTCTCGGGACTGAGCAGCTTTCAGACAATCAGCCAGCAGACTCAGAAGCAGGAGCCAGGCCAGGGCAGGGCCAGCTTCCATGGCAGACCAAGGCGTCACTCATCCAGGGGGCCCGGGAGCAGGGACTCGGGACGATGGAAGAGGACTTGCACCTGAAATACGAAGCCAGAGTCATGTCAATGTACAACGCAGGAAAGCCACGGAGACTCGGCCCAGCTCCTGTGATGGCGGAATGAGCTGGGGAGAAACAGGGAGCCCAGGGCACAAGGAAGTGGGTAGACATGGAGAGAAACTTTACAGACTGTAATTTTCGAGTACTTAGAAAATTTCAACCCAAATCCATTCTTAATTAGGTTGCTAAAGCTCCACTGCTAGCAGTCCCCTCTAACATCCAGCAGAGATGGTATCGGGAAAGATTGAATTTTAATGAAACCCAGCTATTTTTGCCAGGAGGAAAGGGGTTGGCTGCCAGAATGCAACAATAAATAAGTCAGGTGCAGAAGCTCAGAAGCATTTCCTTGATATCAGCGAACACCAGGTATGAGAGTGCAGCCTTACTGGGTCATGCTGTACAGGCTAGGCTTTCCAATTTGGAAAAAAAAGAAAAAAAGGATATGTAGGTAAATTGCCTCTCGTGAACCAAGATGTCTCTTTATAGCTCAAAATCTCCTCAACATAACTAACATTATTGGCTGTGTACTGCTGAAGTTCTTTATATATATATATATATATATATATATATATCTCAGGTAATTCTCCTCATAACCCTATAAGGTAGGCACTGTTATCATCCCATTGTGAGTAAACTGAAGTCCAGCAAATACATAGAGGAGTTGATTTAAACCCAGGCAGTCTGGCCACTGAGGCCACATTTAATGGTGATACTATGTTCTTCCCAAGACTGAGTCAAGGTATATACACAAAACCTGAAGAAATGAGATCAAGGTGTCACTGTAACACTAAGCAATCATCATTCTATCCCTTATTCGGACTCTGCCCTTTTCAATTAAAACTGAGAGCAATAAAATTTTACTAGGGTTGAATTGTCCAGCTTACTCAGAATGTAGATATATATCTTAATTTATATGCGTTGTTCGCTTGCCATCTTATTGCTTTTCTATAGAGTCTGTTCCTCATGTTCTATTTTCCGAATACCATCATTCTAGCACCCATGCAAGGGGTCAAGTTAGACATTCACTTTATTTTAAACTGGCTAAAAAAACATAATTTGGACATTTTGTTTCCAAAATTTTAATACAAATATTCAATGACATTTTAAAAACAGCATAATAAGATAATCCTAAAATTTTGCCGTCAAAACAAATAGACCAAGAGTAAATATATTACAAATCAAAATCAATAGAGAAAATCAATATCAGACTAATCAGATATCAGAGCACAGTACAGAGTAATATTATTCAAAACAGGATGATAGAAAGTATAAAAATGAATTCAGAAAATGAAACACTCCAAGGAGCTCAGACATAGAGCTATTTCATGATAAAAGCAATTTTTAAAAAATTACAGAACAGAAAACTATTAAATAATAGTAAGATAACTTTATTAAAAATTGTGAAAAGATTAACTGACACCAAACAATGCACGATACACTCAAATTAACTCCAGATGGATTGGTGTGTTCTTTACTTTTTTCAAATAGACAAATTGTTAGAAAATAGAGAACTCTTATCACCCTGTAACAGCTTGATGATGCCAGCTTGCCAATTTCATGCTCACTACGCCCTCTTCTGTTTGCAGTTTGGTTCCCCCAAGCAGGTTTGCAATCATAAAGGGAAGGAGCTGCTCATTCACTTCATAAATGTGACTGCCAGGCACTGTGCTAGGCACTTGGTTAAATAATGTGATGAGAAAACAAATATCAAGGATCT